TGATTTTGCTACACACACTGCCCACTTTTGAGTGTCTTGGTTTATCAGTTTCACGCACGCATTTATCTACGAGCAAGAGAAATATTCCGATGAAGCGAGTCTGTATAGCGTCAAGTGGTAAGCTGTAACTCGATTCCAGAATAAATATTCTGGAATCGAATTACAGACTCTTAAGCTCTAAAAGAATAAGCCACACCAACCTGTACAGGACACTCTATCCGACGGCTTTCTTGACGCAACCTTTTTCCTTGGCCCCTGTACTTGTATTTTCCTGCATGAGTACACTCTAATCCTTTTGAGTACTGCTCGAAAGAATGTGGAATGTGCGAAGCTGGATTCTTGGTTTTCGCATTTCGAGCTTTCACCGTTTTATTTGTTCTTATTTGAAACAGCTAAGTGGCAATGGTTAGAAAATTTGAAACACTTGTAGTTCGTATCGCAGTTTAGGCAGTACCTGGTAGGTTTGTGCTTCATACTCACGCGCAAAAGCATGAAATTCATCCCACGAATCAAACTGGAGCTTTTTCAAGGCTGGTCCAGCACTATGAGAAGGAGGTGATGCTACCAGCACTGGCGACGAAGCAGATTCCACTTCGAGCGACGAATCTTCATTCGTGTTTGCTGAGATATCTCCGCCGCCACTTGAGCTGTCGACACCCGTTGTGTCTGTTCGCTTTCTTCTACCAGCAACGCTGGCCATTGCTTCTGAGAGTTCTGGCAAAATGCGTTCGTGCAAGTGCACCTGTCAGTTTTGCTTCTATTCCTGGCCGACTGACTGCACAGTATACATGTTCGGATGCAAAACCCAGCGTATAGGCCTTATTTGAAGGTTTTAGGGTAGCATGTTTTCGTGACCAAGTGGTTCCTAGGTTGGAACAGCAATTGATGAAACGCATTTTGACCAAGACGAAGAAGCCAGTTAGGAGACCTAATCATCGACGTTTTTCATGCGAGCCCGACTCACTTGACCTGGCATTGATTGGCCAAAACTAGGCCTTTCCCAAAGATAGTAGCATAATAGGCGCGACCTTTGCATATTTTTAAAATCAAACACAGGTATAGATGTAGCCATTATGGCATTATCTCACAGTATTTACTGTAAATATTTCTCTTCAATATTTAAAAGCTTTTTTTTTGGTACAGTACTGCACCCCGTTTTCGCGCCCTTGGTCCTTTATAAACTTCCGAATGTAACGATCCTGAGTCAAAATCAACAATTGTTTGTAAGCTAAATTCACTTATCTGTATAATTCGTTGGAATGCAATCCTACTTATTATGAGCTGTTCTGATTGGCTAATCTGTTTTTTTGTCTCTTTGCCTGCTCTCTGACAAGTCGTAGGATAGTAGTTAGCGAAAGCTCCTCCAGTCGTCGCTTTCTGGTTGAAGGGGTCATCTTTAAATTACTGATGCCCACACGAAAGAGGTCTGAAGCTTGGTGCTCGGTCATATCATTCGGGATAGTTTTTCCTGCAGTCGTAATGGCTGTGCAAATATGTCGGATTAATCTAGTCCAATCTGAGAAACGCTTGCACATACTGCTCTTCGGTAAGTCGTGAGGGCGAATTTTTCGGAGGGGTGGATAATTTCGTGCTTTATCACCAAACCACCAGAGCATCCAGGCAGCGTAAGGTCCTCCACGAGGGAATTCAAACGACTCGGGCAGTAAATGAAATTTGCCGTTGTAAAAGTACGCTGTTTTACTGTCGCCAGTCTCCATTGTCTGATGTGGCGAGGAGCTGCTAGGTTGCGCTATACCGACACGCCTAAGCAATGCATTGATGGTGCTCTCTAGCAGATCCTTGTTTATATTGCCAGCGGTAACGCCTTTCTGCTCAATAAGATTTGAAACTCCCTCTAAAAGTAATGGCGGCAACTTGTCGATTGAGGATTGCATGCACTGCAACTGTTTGTAAAGCTTCACATGTGGCGGGATTCCCGTTGGTTTCATCCAGGAAGCTGCCTCACAAACCAGCTTTGATCGAAGTTGTGTCACAACTTCGGGGTGACGAAATAAATAGGACGAAAGTAGCGGGTGCGATGCTGGTAGAACCTCATTCAAATGGTCATGATGATGCACGAGCGAAGCTATGCAGAGCTTGAGAATATCTTGCAGTGCACTGGTATTTTGCAGGCTTGGAAACATTTCTTCGACACATGACTCCACACATTGCGCATTATTATCACTAAAATGAGGTGGTAGTGCCGCGAACTCGGCTTTATTTAGGGGCAATCCTGCCACCACACGACCTAGATATTGATCACCAGCCGATTCGTAGCGGATGTATCTATCCTGGACACCACCAAGCGACCATCCGACGCGCAAACAAACACTGGCGATTGACGGACCTCCTGTTGTTCCACTGTACGAAAATGTTGCAACGCCCTTTCTTATCGAGCGGGTTCCATAATGATTGAGCCCAGTTATTTGTGTGATCATTTGACGTAGCGTATTACCGAACCGAATTTTCTGACGGGAACCTGGGAATAGTGACCCTGACTGTTGTGTTGGTCGACATGCTAAATAGATAGCAAGTGCAGTGACCCAGCACGTTGCAGGGCTACGGGGATTCGCGTACACGTGGCGCGGATCCTTGGGTCCAGATCCTTCCTGATAAGTCTTAGATTGATGCATAGTACACCCAACGCTATCGTCATGAGCGCTCAAGTGCTGCGTGCATAACGTTTGCACTGACGCCGAACGGCACATTAGGTTCCATTGTGTTGTCAGAAAGAAATGTGCAAACCCCGCGTCTTGCCTTTCCAGTGTCGCCTTGCAAAGCTGTTGATACAGCGAGTACGGCAGTGGATCCTTCCCCGATTCTTTAGGTGCTCCAGATTGAAATCTAGCTGCTTGCAGACGCTTAAGCCCGGAGAAAAATGTAGCCATTTGCTTGTCGTAGGCTTCCGGAAGAGGGACTTCTTTCCGGCGGTAAAGATC